CACTGGTACAGATAGGAACTGGAAACACAGGGAATCCAGGGCAGATGATCCCCTCAGGACCAGTGGTGTGAGTGGCAATACTGGGAGGGCATAGGGAGGAGGGTGGGTTGGAAAGGGGGAACCGATTTCAAGGATCTACTTGTGACTTCCTCCCTGGGGGATGGACAACAGAAAAGTGGGTGAAGAGAGGAGACGGCCAGGGCAAGGCATGACAAAATAATTTATAAATTACCGAGGGTTCATGAGGGTGGGGGAGCGGGGAGGGAGGGGAAAAAATGGACCTGATGCCAGGGGCTTAAGTGGAGAGCAAATGTTTTGAGAATGATGAGGACAATCAATGTACAAATGTGCTTTACACAATTGATGTGTATGTATGGATTGTGATAAGAGTTGTATGAGCCCCCAATAAAATGACTTATAAAATGACTTTAAAAAAAAAAAAGCTACAGTCTTGGAAACCCACAGGGGCAGTTGTACTCTGTCCATAAGTTTGCTGCGGGTCGACATTGACCCAATGAATAATAACTTAGTCATTATCCTTGGGGGTCTTTGTTGTTTCCAATGATTTTTCATTGTAAATCAGTGGTTCCTGAATGGTATTAAATGAAAATTCCTATTAAAAAAGATTATTGATATATGCTGCTGCTGGGCCAAATAAGGTGCATTAGGTCACATGGGTGTCACTGGTATCTTTGTGAGCATTATTTTGGTGGAATAGTGAGTGCAAAAGCCTAATTGGAATGAATAGGAGAATGAGAATTAAATGGGGTACCATAAGGAGAAATTAATAAAGATTTTGTGTGTAATTTAAGATTTCTTTGAAACAGCAGCATGTTTCTGTCCTAAGGTAATCTAGAGGGAAACATTTCAAACACCGAGAGGGACAGCTGCCGAAAATGTCCATTGTGAGAATAGATGGGATCTAAACTCACTGCCATCGAGTTGATTTTGAGTTATAGTGACCATAAAGGACAGAGTAGAACTGCCCCTGTGGGTTTCCTTATCCTTAAAAGGAGAAAAGTTAGCATATAAGCTTAGATGTAGTTCGGTGGTAGATGTGGTAATAGAGACTAAGTTCCCTTTAGATTCTATTTAACAAGATAAAATCATCTGTTAAAATTAAAGGTGGTGGAGATGTTACCTTCTGAGGACAGAGGAGAAAGCACGACCGTTTCCTTAGAGTAGGCCAGTTAATGAATTAGGGAAATACCAAGTACCTGTAAGCATTTAATTTGACTTAGTGATCATGAATTTACAGTAACTTCAGTTAGCAGGGTTGTGGGTTTTCCTCCAACTATGAATAGCCCACAAGGTACGTGGAGAATTAGATTTTCAGGGTTGGGATTTAGCCAAGCAAATGTGATGGTGAGAGGGAGGCCAAGTACATATGCATGAGAGGATTGATATTGCCTGGCCATGGTATTTTAAGCTGGGAAAGAGAAAAGTGAGGACACGGAGTTGGAGGGTTTAAGACACTGAAAAAAATAGTAGGATTAGGATTTTAGGTCCTAACATAACTTGAGGTAGGTAGTGATTGATGACTGGGATACAGTATATAGAAAAACATAGTAATGTTTAGAGACTAGACCTTAGAATCAGATTTGGAATCTCATTTCATTTTTACTAATTGTGGGTTCAAGGAAAAATCACCTCTGTTCCTCAGTTTTGTCATCCCATGAAAAGGGATACAGTAAAGAGTACCTATTCCATAGGGTGGTTGTGAGGATTAAATGAATTCATGTTTTTTAGAAAGGTTCAGGAAAGTATCTGACACATAGTTACTATGTGAGGCAGCTTTTAAAAGTTTATGGGCTATTTATGTTTTTTTCCTCATGCTTTTAAAAGCCCCCTCATAGAAGTTTTATACATATTGTCATGAGACCAGTTCCTAAAGAAGGATAGCATGCTTAGTCAAGTAGAGGGGCAATGAAAACTGGGAAAGCCCTCAAGGAGATGGATTGACCACAGTGGCTGCAACAAGGGGCCCAGGCATAGGAACAATTGTGAGGATGGTGCAGGACCAGGCAATGCTTTAATTCTGTTGTGCATAGGGTCATTATGGGTCAAAATCAACTCGATGGCACCTAACACCAGAAATTTTTCTGCAAATAATACTGTATAGTGCTTACAGTTATTGGTAATGACAAAATCTTGGATACAAGCAACGTAGGTGAATGGCTAAAGTATGGTGAAAGACAAAATCATCGGTGGAGAATAAATTAAGGAACTGAAACACTAATAGAATAAGGATCATCTATATGGATATTAAAATCATCAAAAATTACATATTCAATGTCAAAAGTATTTCCTACTTCATAGTTGGTAGGATTTAATTTTGTATGAGCGTGTACAAATGAGCTAAACTTGTTATTAATACATAAGATAGGTAATGTTAAAATAATTGATTTTATAACTTTTAATCCTAATGTAGAATATTTTTGATTAATTAAAAAAATATGTTACCACAGCTTTTTTCTTTTATATTTGTAGAGTATATTTCGACAGCAACAAAAGATTTTGCAACAATGTAGAATTGCCCAGAGCCAGAAACTGAAAGAGATTAAATGCTTATATGAACAATTCATAAAGGTCTGTTGTATTTGGTAGCACAGTACATTATTATATATGGAAGTAGAATTTTTTTTCTTTCCAAACTATGGGAAAAAAACATTTTGACTATACATTTAAATTCATAGCCATTTACTATTTTGAATTCATTATTCCTAATTTTCAAGAGCTAAATGTATTTATACATATACGATTCATAAATGGTTTTGGAAGAATGAACCGAAACAGGAAATTTTTTTAAATGAGGGATTTTACCTAGAAATGTACATGCTATTCATAAAATTGCACTTTAAAACATTTTTATCATAGTTCTTTTAACAATGCCTTGGGATAATATAGCAGTATATGTGTAATTGAAAATAGAAAGTTCATAAATTGTTTCCTGGTAGTCATATTATGTGTCTTTATATCACCCATGTTTGTTAAATAGGAAACGTTAGGTGTGTGAGGTGGTTCCAACTCACAGTGACCCCACCATACACAACTGAAGGAAGCACTGCCATTGTGTTAGGTTTGAGTCCATCTTTGCCGCCACTGTGTCAGCCTATCTTCTTGAGGGTTTCCTCCTTTTCACTGACCTTCCACTCAACTAAAGTTGTCTTTCATTTCAAATATATAATCGTTTTATGGCATTACTTCTAGAATTATTGCGGCAAAAACTTTATATGCTAATTTGTAATCTTAAAAGATAGCCTAGATGTGTAATAGAATACAAAAGCCCCTGAAGATTAAAATCTTCAGGATTAAAATATGCCTATTGTCACATGTGCATATTAGTAAAATGTCTGCGACACCTTGTTCATCAATCTGTACATGGAAGTTTCAAAAAGTTCATGGAAAAATATAATTGAAAGATAATGGAATTTTTCCATGAACTTTTTGAGGCCTCATACTTTTTTTTTCTTCAACAGTTTAATTGGTATATAATTAATTCACATATCATATAATAGTTCAGTCACATCAAGAAGATCTCATAGTCTTATTTTTTATTAACTACTCAGAGGAGTTTAATGATAACCCTGGATACATAACTTTTTCATGGATAAGTTCTTTTGGATACTATTGTTCCAATACATGTTAAAACGGTTACATGTAGTACAAGTAGTCCCCAATTTAGGCATTCAAGTTACAAATAACCACACTTAGTATCTGATGATCTGCACTGCATTTAACAACTCTCTGGGGTCTCTTTTTTTTTCTTTTTATCATTTCCTTTTTTTCTCCCCCTCAACAGTTTTATTGGCAAGTAATTTACATATCATATAGTTGAACTGTTCAATCATACCACGGACCTGGGTCTTTTTTTATGGCATATATTGTTAATATGTACTCCATTCGATGTGGCAGTGCCTAATTACAGATGTTGGGCTGCTAACCAAGATTGGTGGTTTAAATCCACTAGCCTCCCTACCAGAGAAAGATGAAGCTGTTTCCATAAAGAATTAGTTTTGAAAACTACATGGGGTCACTATGAGTCAGCATTGACTTAATGGCAATAGCTTAGTGGGTGTGCTGCTACTGCCTTAGTGAGGTCTTTCATCATTACTTTCTTGGACTATTAAAACTGTTAATTGATTTTTCTGTTCTTCAGTCCAGCCTGTATTGAACTATCATATTCCTTCAACATTTCCTTTCCTTCTAGAAAAACTAAGTTTTCATTATAAATTCTTAGATATTTAAGATCCTCCCCTATAACATGGCCCTTTTAGCATAGATTTGCTACGTTCTTTTTCTTCCTCTTCTCAAGAAAAAACTGATTTTTTTTATCTAACTTAGTATTTTTTATTTACTGAGACATACCATTAAGAATACTTTTAACTCCTTTTTCTTCAACATTGAAATCTTACTCTCGCTAGCAAAATTGGGTTAAGTTCCTTTTTTCTCCACATAGCTATTAACAGTTATATTTCCATATATAATTTCTGTATTTATGAAAAAAATGTTTCTTCTGAAAAATGTATTATTCATTTTTAATTGCTCTACAGTATTTAGCATCTCAAAACACATTGCCATCAAGTCGATGCTCACTCAGCACCCCACTGGGTTTCTGAGGCTATAACTGTGTACAGGAGTAGACAGCCCACTCTCCCTAGGAGTGGCTGGTGGTTTCCAACTACAACCATGCAAATTGCAGCCCAATGAATAACCACTACACCACCACAGCTCTTAGCATAGTGCTTTTTATATAGTAGGTAGTAGATAACTTGGTGGATGAATAGTAAAGCTTTAAAATACAGTTTTTGTTTCTCTTGAAAAAGAAGTCATGGTACAGATCACTATTGTTTCTGAAATCATGCCACGTTTACTAACAAAAGGTTAGTTTAGATTTGAAAAATAATGGTATTTATATTGGACTTCGAATCATTTCCTTTTTTTGGCACTATCTTCACCTCGGCAGTTCTTTAACCCATTGTTTTGACAAAGTATATACAGCTGTTGTGCCATCTATAATACTAATAGTAGTAATAATTTGTACAAATAATAGTATTTGACTCACAAATAACATTAAACATTTGACTCACATCTGATTTTTAATTTCTCTAGTGGGAAATTTGGTCTTTAAGTATTTAGGATTTTACTCGGAATAATGAGCGTTATCTAAATATTGAAAAGCTATTTTTGAAAATTGTACAAGTTTAGAGTTTGAGAAGGTTTGTAACTGAACTATTTGTGTTTAGAGTTTGGAGGAGTTGGATAATAAGCATTGTGAAAATCTTAATGATGCACAAAGTGAACACAGAAAAGAGATGGCTATGTTGCAGAAGAGAATTATGATGGAAACTGTAAGTAGTTATATTTAAAACTGAAAAAGTAAGGACTGATTTAGACATTGAGATATTTTATTTGCTGAAATATGCATAACACTTAACTAAATATTAAACAAGTGTTTAATATCTCTCTTCATTTAACAGCAGCAGCAAGAGAAGGCACGTGTTCGAAAGTCTCTTCATTCCTTGTTATTCTGATGACTCTTTGAAGAAAGAACTTGAACCTAAGTAATATGATACAATTATAATTAGCTAGAGGGACATGCAAATCTTTATAGTGATTAAAAAATCCTACTTTAGATAATTACATCCTGTTATTCATTAGCTTGTTTAAGTGAAAGATCCCTTATGTGTTATCCATAAATATAACCTAAGCAGTTTTGTGAGTCATAGCAATTTTTAGCTTTTTGATAGTAATAGTGAAAATTTTCCCTTAGTATTGTCAATTTACTTTAGCAATTAAGATTTTATTTCCTTTCAGACTTTGACTTCAGTAAGGTAGAAAGCACAAGTATGTAAAATTAAACATTGTTTTTCTTTAAGGGAAAAATAAAGATTACAAAATATTTTATATGTACTTGTTGTCATTACATTTTAAGAGCAATTCTAAATGAAAATAAGATTTCAAAAGAAAACCTACTGACTTGAAAATTTTATTAGGAACAACTTGTTTGTATTCATTCTTACTCTAAAATAAATTAATTTCTAAAAATCATTAAGATGATTAAACAAGTTATATAAATATTAGTTTCAAGACAGTTTTGAAAATATATCATTTCTACAAGACATCAAAATAAATATCATTTAATTGAATTTAGTCCACAATTAAACGGCACTTTGCCTTTAGCAATGATTTAAGAGCATTTCATTAACATAATTTAAGGACTTAGAGTTAAAATACTCATTTTGTCTTTAAAATAAATTACCTAGAATATATTCAAGTTTAGTAGCCAATAAGTATGTAAATTTGGTTTTACAGTTTCATTTCCAAACATAGGATAACATAAAATCTTCAACTAGAAACATTAACAACTATTAAATTGTTCTTCAGCATGTTGAAATAAGTTAGTTAACTATTTGGTTTTTTTGTCCAAAATTGATCTCAAAAGTTCATTCAAAATAAAAAATATGCCCTTGAAGAGGAGAGGAGCGACTTTTTCCTGTTTATGCATGATTTTAAAATTCTAGCCCCTAAAACTTAACCCTTTTCTTAGGTTTAAGGTTTTCCATGTTTTTACAAACAAGTTCATACAAACTTTTCATAACTGTGATAACATACAGAAAGAAGTTAGTCCTCCATTAATAAATATTTGACATAAGAGACATTATATAAAGGATTTTCCTTTTAAGATAAGATGTATGTTAGTATATAAGTCTTAAGTACTACTCAGGCTTAGATGAAGACTCTTGGGAAGTTTTGACCATAGCTACAGTGGCAAAGTTAACTAGTGTTCTCCATGTACTTAACTCACATAAAACTATATATTTTTCCCTTGTCAGTAATAGTTTTCCTGTTTTATGTAATAGACTTTTTTCTTAAGATGGAGAATGTACATAGATCCTCTGGTTTTCAGATTATTTTGTAATGTGGCATATGGTCTATAGAAATATAGGCTAAAATTAAAAGTAGGGTCAGAGATAGGAATCTGAAAATTTGAATCTCAAAGATCTTTCTGATGGTTCTAGTTTCATAATGAGCGATCTAAATAAATTTAAGTGAGAGTAGAAGAATAAATACCTAATAGTCCACAAGTTGATATTTATTTTCTCCTCCATATCAAATGAGTCAATGGGCAACTGAAGCAACTCTTGGCTAATATTCTAACCAGAAGATATTTTTGCTATTTTCTTTTAAGTTATTAATTTTCTTAGATGGCAGTAGTACTTTAACTGCTATTTTATTTTTGATAAGAGAATGTTTAATGCCTGCTTCTTTATGACAAAGTTTAACTTAAAATATCAAAGAACAAGTTACTTTCAGTGTAAACATTCATTTGTTTTTCTGAACTGGTAAGATAAATTCATGTTACTAACTATAAATACAGATAATTCTAGTTTAACTCTATAGTAAAACAAGTCTTTAAATTCCATAGTAACATGTGTTTTGAAAGTCAGCAATATTAAAAACAATTTCTTATAACACATCTGACAGATAGTATAAGCTATATGCACTTAAGCAGTACTTCGAACTCACTTGTCAGTTTTTAGCAATCAAAGCCAGTATCACTCCCAACATAGCTATAAAATCCTTCAGATCCTGAATTTTTGTGTAATCACTTGGCAGTGAAAACCCCAAATACTCAAAAGAATTTTCAGAGACAAAGAGATTGCTATTTAACTATACTGATGCACACTTGCTTATCTCTCAGGATTGATGTTTTTCTCCCTTTGGTTTTACTAATTAGAGATTGTTATACTTTCACTCTGATAATATCTGTGATCCAAAAATGTTGGTAATCAATGAGCCTCATAAATGATAGGCATAATGGAACCTGCAAGACTTATATTTTACATTCAGATATATCCTTATTTGATAGTATACTAGCCTCCTGCAAAGGGGGGTATATCCTTCACCCATAGTTTCCCCTAACTGCTTCTCCTCTTCTCCTTGGGCTATTAGTCAATATGCTTGTGAACCTGTTCAGGTGCTTGATGACATGAAGTCTTGAATATACTTATATGAAGGTGTCTTGAAATTTGCAGGCACAAAGCACTAAAGTATGTTGTCATATCAAATGAAGCAAAGACCTTTAGAAGCAAAAAAGAAAATACAAATGTATTATGGCGTATCTTTACTGAACCAACAACTTTTTCTGCTTCCCACAAAATTGAATTACACTTCACTGAAAATAATGCATTTAGAGTACATGTATATATGCCACATTTGACTCTTTTACCATACAATTGGTGGTTATACATTGAACTGCTATCCATAGGTTACCATTTTAAAACTAGCAGTGGCTCCTCGGGATAAAGATGGGGCTTTCTACTCCCATAAAGAGTTATTACAGTTGCAGAAACCCACAGGGGCAGTTCTACCCTGTCCTATAGGGGCGCTATGAGTCAGAATCCATTCCTCTAAAAGGAACCTAGAGGCACTGTGGGTTAGATACTGGTCTGCTAACCACAAAGTTGACAGTTCAAACTCACCAGCCACTCTAAGGGAAAGATGAGGCTGTCTGCTCCCCTAAAGAGTTAGTCTTGGAAAGCCTAAGGAGAAATTCTGTCTGTCCTATAGGGTCACTATGAGTTAAAATCAACTCTGGTAGTGGGTGTAGTCCTCTGATGGAGCTGTGGTGGTGCAGTGGTTAAACACACATTTGCTTACCACACATTTGCTAAGTGAAAGGTTTGAACTCACTATTAGCTCCGTGTGAAAAAGATGTCTTTGAAAAGACTCTTGTTGTTAGGTGCCATTGAGTTGGTTCTGACCCATAGTGTCCTATGCGCAACAGAAGGAAACACTGACTGGTCCTGCACCATCCTCACGATTGTTCCTATTATTGAGCCCATTGTTGCAGCCACTATGTCAATCCATCTCATTAAGGGCTTTCTTTTTCACATGCTTTACCAAGCACGATATAAAGATTACAACCTTGGAGCTCCCATGTCCTATGGGGTGGCTATGAGTTGGAACTGACACTCACACTGCAACACAGGTTTGGTTTTGGTTCATAGTCTTATAGCACCTCTGTAGGACAGATAACTGTCCCAATGGATTCCTAAGGCTCTAATCTTCATAGAAGTAGATTGCCTATCTTTCTTCCTTGGGACAGCTGGTGAATCTGAGTCATCCACATTTCAGTTAGCAGCCAAACAATTACTGTGCCAATCTTGAGCCTGAATTGACTCTGACAGTGGATTTTAATAGCGGTGGTATGGTTCCTCGTTGGGCTGTGACCTGCATAGTCAGCAGTTCACAACCACCAGCAGCTCTGCAAGAGAAAGACTGGGCATTCTACTTCTGTAAACTTAACAGTCTCATAAACCCACATGGGGTCGCTATGAGTCAGTATTGAAGACCATGAGTTGAGTTTTATGGAATATACAGAGTATTTCACAATTATAAAAACTGGCTCAGTAACAAAAGAATTAGAATACCAATCCTAGAATGTAACAGAACTTAGGTCTTCTGACTATAGTCTCACCTTTTTATTGTGTGATTAAACCAAAAATGTCTAAATTGTAAAATAATGACTCCCTAAAGGGCCAGTCATTATTTTATAATGAACTAATGAACTCACTCCCCATCAGATAAATTTCTTCTAAATTAGCGATAAGGTAATAGGTCTGGAAAAGACCATAGTTGAGGGAAGGTATATACAGAATTATGTGCACAAAATTTAACCAAGAACCTAACCTCCATCACCATAAAGACAATACATCCCAACAAAATCAAAAAGTTCAATAGTACTTCATTCATACAGAATTGTGCTGTTAGTGTTATCAATGAACTTTCTCCTCAGCTGGCTAAAGTTGCTCTCAATTCTATATAACCACTTGAATATAATAGGCATACATTATCCACATTAAGTAGGAAGTAATAAAAATTTAACTTGCTTCATCAGAACAAAATACAAATTATATTCCTAATAATACACAAGACTATTTCTAGCACAAAATGGTCTCAGAAGCTTATTCTGCCCTGTTCATTTCTTCAATATTAGCTAACAGTTCTTGATGCACTAACCCTATCTAATTTGCTAGTGCTAACTCTATCTAAGGAGCCATGGTTGCATAGGTGGTGGGCTCTCAGCAGCTTTAACCCCACCAGCTACTGAGGGGACAAAGATATAGCAGTCAGCTTCTGTAAAGATTCCAGACTTAGAAACCCTTTGGGGGCAGTTCTACTCCGTCCTATAGAGTCACTTGAGTTAGAATCTACCTGACTGCAACAGTTTTCTGTTTGTTTTTTAACCCCATCTTAGGATCCCTAGCAGCACAAGGGCTACTCTACCCTGCTGCTTCCTGAGAGAAAGACCTGGTGACCTGCTTCCATAAAGATTACATTTGAGAACATCCTACCAGGTAGTTCTATCACAAGGAGTTGCGATGAGTCAGAAACTTATTTGGTAGCCAACACCATCTATTTCTAGTTATCTGCTGTAAGATGAGAGTAGCTTAAAAATTTATTAACAAATCATTTTATTGGGGGCTCTTACAGTTCTTATAACAATCCATAGATCAGTTGTATCAAACACATTTTTACATATGTTGCCACCATCATTTTTAAAACATTTTCTTTCTGCTTAAGCCCTTGGTGGCAGCTCTAGTTTAAAATTTTTTATAATGTTAAAAAGCTACATTAAGTTAAAGTCAGAGTGAAGTGATTTTTTTAGGTGGAATCCCTAAAGGTTGGAGGTTCAAGTTAACCCAGAGTTATCTTGGAAGAAAGGCTTGATGAGCTACTTCTGAAAGTGAGCCATTGATTCAAAACCCTACAGAGCACTGTTCTATTCTGGAAACACATGATTGAGTCATTGGAAACTTTGTATATTATTTTTGAGGTACACAGGTATTTTTTCCAAAATTTAAGTTGTAATATTGACAGCAAAGTTCAAAACAAAATAAATGCTGCAGAAGGTATGCAGGGATTGGAACCCTTACATTTTTCTGGTGGGACTGTAAAAATGTAACCACTGGAAAGCAGTATGGTACTACCTTAAACAATGGGAATAAAAGTTCCATATGACCCAGCAAACCTTTGCTGGGTATACAGTATACCCTAAAATAAGGGTATATATATCCTTCCATATACTCATGGAAACAAGCTAAAGGCCTATTAGTAGAAGAATGGATAAAGAAACTGGTATACACAGTGTACCTTATGGCATGGATTGACCTGAAGAACATTATGCAGAGTGAAATTAGTCAATCACAAAAGGATAAATATTGTATGAGATCAGTGTTATAAAGAGAACAATAAAGACAGATTTTCATACGAAAGGAAACAGACTTTGATGACTACCAAGGGGGGGAGGGCCAGGGAGGGAAGATGAAGCAATATTCTAGAGGGTAGACCTGTGTTAACTTAGCTGAAGAGGAAGACAATATTTCACAAGGAGAAAAGAAATCAAAGGGGGGGGGCAAGGAGAATAGAAATTAAAGGGGAATGGAAGCTAAAGCAAGCTATTGGAAGGTTTGATATGTAGTTTAAGTTGTTGACTACAAAATTGATTTGAAACATAAAATCCTACCTAATTTACCACCACACTCTTTAAAAATGTTGTTGGACACTTGACCTCTAGATATGAGCCATTTCTACATACAAAATAACTCAGCTTAAAAGAAGTGATTATAAATATGATTTAGAAGGATTTACTGTGTCAACTCTAGATATTGAAGTTACTTAATTTAATGAGATATCTCACTATATTGACTTTTAAGCATAGTATTATCTGATATCTGTCTTAAAATCTTAACAAAAAATTATTTACTTACCATTGCTACCCATAGGACAATATATTCGTCTACAAAATTACTAAAATACTGGTCTAAAAATAAAAGACCTGGCCCGATAAACACCGAGTCTTGAAGATATAGTTCACTTTTGGTCATGTGAGCTACCTAGAAAACAAATAAATAATCATTTCATTATTAAATTTTGTATGTTTGAGCCTTACTTTCAGGACTGAGAATGATAATTTTAATTCAATATTGATACAAATAAGGATAGAGAACATTTAAACTTACATTTGATATTAGAATATTGATACCAAAAATGTCTCAAATTCATGTAGGGTATCCTGTTTTCATTATTTAAATTTCTTACAAACAAGGATTATAATAGAAAATTACTTAGGAACTTATTATACACGGAGGTGTCAAAAAGTATGTGGAAAAATTCTTTTGTCTTTTAATTCGATTTTTCCCTGAGTTTTGGACACCCCCCACCCCCCACCCCACCACTGGATAGTTATAAATCTGTTTTGCTTTGTAACAGTGAGTCCTAGAGCAGTTTTATGGTTTGACTTTAGTACAGAGCAAGCCATATATAGTGAAGATACCACAAAAGAAAATCTGCTCATTGTATGAAATCATTCACAGCCTTATGTTTGAAGACTATGTACATTATTTATACCGTAAAATAATTTCTTACCACCAATTTTTGTGCGATTTTAGCAAAGACGCATCCAAACATTAGGGTATAAAGACAAGGATGTTTTTCAAATACATTACTTGCAGACTTTTTATAAATCATTATTGCCAGTATGATAATTAGTCCTATGTGGAGTCCAGGTGACAAGACACTGGTGCCCTAAAAGGTAAACAAAGTCAGCAGCATATTTTGACACTAAAAATTAGATTGAACATATATTTTGTGCTATTGAAAGTATAGATAAGAGCTGAGCTTTTTAAAAAAATCATTTTACTGGGGACTCGGACAACTCATCACAATCCATACACCCATCTATTGTGTCAAGCACATTTGTACATTTGTTGCCATCATCCTTTTTTTTAATTTATTTTTTAACATTTTATTAGGGGCTCATACAACTGTTATCCCAATCCATACACACATCAATTGTGTAAAGCGCATT